TAAAGCATACAATCCGTTCCAGATGCTAAGTCACATACAAGGTAAAGAACTTTGCAAATTCAGCATTTCTGAGTTCCACTGCCATTATCTCATTGATATATAATTTGTGAATTTGTGCTGCCAACGTGTATAACAAAGGTAATACATAATAATAAAGAATTTAGCATCAGCTGCTAGGTACTTCCAGGGCAGTTTGGCAGAAGATGAATTGATGATTTATAGCTTTACTTGACATTAAAACTGCTTCAGTATTCCATGAGTAAGGACTAGTAAAAGTGCATCTCTTTGGACACAGGAGGCATCAGGGGTGTAAGAAAATCAATAAATATAATTTTAAAGTCCGCTATTAAAAAAAACACAGCAATTAAATACAAAATTGTGCATACTACATACATACAAAGGGGTCTATTCACTAAGCTGCCGTAGGCAGCTGAGTGAATGACCGACCTAAAGCGAAGTGAGCCGAACACTGTTCGGCTATTCACTTCAGGCTGGTACGGCTGATTTTAGACGTATATCGGCTGAAATCAGCCGTACATCGGGTGGCTTCACGTGGCTTCGGGTCGGCCGAACATGCTAGGCATGTTCGGCCAACCCGAAGTGCAGGAGGAGTTCGACTCAGCCGATCCAACATCTGGATCGGCTGAGCCAAACCTCCGGCAGGCTACTCGCTGCTGTTCGGTTTATTCTTATAGATGCTGAACAGCAGTGAGTGAATAGCCGAATGCCGCTGAGTGGCATTCGGCTCGGCTGTTCTGCTCGGTCCCTCAGAGGGACCGAGCAGAACAGAAAAATAGGTAGAAAAGTCCCAAAAAATAAATAGAAAACCATTGTGAGGAGCTAGCAATGACAGCTAACTCCGCCCAATAGTTTACTATTGGCCGGCGGTTCTGCTGCCGTCAAAAAAAAAAAGAAAAAAAGCTCTCCCGGGTGCTCCGGGAGTCTCCAGCTCCCGGCCGCCCAGGAGAGAAACACTGATTTTTCTTTTTTTTCTTTATTCTGACACGGAGCCGTGTCAGAATAGAAAAAAATAATAATGTTTTGCCCATTGGAATGCATTGCTAGATTCCTATTGGCTATTTCAATTTGCAATAGCCAATCGTAAACTAGTATTGCACCCGCCCTCTGCTGCAGTTCTCCATCAGGTCCATCAGCAGAGGGCGGGTGCAATGCTAGTTTACTATTGGCTATTGCACATTGAAATAGCCAATAGGAATCTAGCAATGCATTCTAATGGGCAAAACAATATTATTATTTTTTTCTATTCTGACATGGCTCGTGTCACAATAAAGAAGAAAAAAAGAAAAAGCAGTGTTTCTCTCCTTGGCGGCCGGGAGCGGGAGACTCCCGGGGCACGCGGGAGAGTTTGCTGTCTGGAGATCAGTGTCCCTGGTTAGCTGGTAACCAGGGACGCTGATCTCTCTGCAAGTGGCCGGAGCCAGCCGTAAGATCACGGCTGGCTCCCCCCAGCTGTCAGAAGCAGACTGTCGGCCGGCAAATGGCCGGCCACTTGGCCAGCTTTGGCTTTCAGCGCGGCTTAGCCGAGCCGAGGCATATGCCTTCGGCACGACTGAGCCGCTCGGCTAAGTTCGGGAGCTGTACGTGCTATTGTGAATAGCCCGTACAGCAGCCCTTCGGTTCTACTGAACTGAAGGGGTCCTGGGGCCGAAGCTAGCCAAAGAATCTGCCGAAGCTACGTCTAGATTCTTCGGCTGCTTTGTGAATAGACCCCAAAGTGGCACATTATTTTCCCTAAACATTGCTAACTGGGCCACACTCTCTTGCAGCACACTCTCTGGTAACAAGAACCTCCTTAGTCGCTGTTCATAGGCTGTACCTTGCTAGGAAGAAACTGAGGAGCCTTTCCGATAAAGAAATGCTGATAGATGGGAGCAGACTACTCATTCACCAATGTAGGGGAGTAGCAGGCTGCACTAAGCCCACATGTAGCAATAGCCTCTCTGTTACCTTTTAGAAACATCTAGCCCCAACTGACATGAAGAGTTTTCAGTGCATGTGTAGTAGTATTAATCAGTTGGCCTCTGTAGATCTGGAGTGATTTTTTTTTTTGCACGTATGTTAAAATCTGCGTTTTTACATGCGACCGAAAAATTACAAAAAAATATGGAGAAGTGGGTATGTTGCGCTTGGAAGTGAATCTATTTGGTTTTACTGTGAATAGTGAAAATAGTCACAGTATGGTTCCGTGGTGATTAGTCCAATGTGAAAAATTATTCTGCAAATATGTGAAGTGAATATAAAGTGCAGGATAAGGTGAGTGATGTCTGTGAAATAATAAAAACGTGTGATGGCCTTTTAATAAAAATCCTAGTGAGTGATTGGTTCTTGTGTGTATCTATTAAAATCTACAACTCCAAGGTTCCGTCAAAACGAAATAGTATAAAAGCACTTAAACACACATTGTTGCGGCTGGTGTTTTAAATCCGACTCCTAGCGCTAACTAAGTTGGTTTGGACAAAAAATTATGGTACCCCAAATTGCCATAGCTGACGCTTTAGAAGTTAACTGTAAATGAGGGACCTAGAGTTATTTCTCTAGAAGATGAAACGCAGTAGACATGTGCGATTCGTTTTTTGGACATTCGGATGTATCCGAATAACGAATGCAAACTAATCCGAATCTCCATTTCCGAAATTCGGTAGCGTTCGTACGAACGTTCGTTTCGTTTTCTGTTCTTATTCGTTTCTTATTCGTTTCTTATTCGTTTCGTTTGTTTGACATTCGTCAAATGTCACTTTTGCTGCAAACGAACGAAACGAATAAGAAACTAATAAGAAACAAATAAGAACAGAAAACAAAACGAACGTTCGTACTAACGCTACCGAATTTCGTCCGAATCCCGAATCCGAATTGACTTTCACACCCGAATCCTGAAAAACGAAATAACACAAATCCGAATTTAAAACGAAACGAAACAAATTTTTTGGCAGTGCACATGTCTAAAACGCAGTATGTCTTGCACAGTCATTGTTTACATGCACTCCCTATTTGCGTGTTTGCATTCATATGTATGTTCGCAGGTTGATAGGGATGCATTAAAACATTTTTTTGTTAATTTTACTATATTTTAATTTGACTTTTTGTAACATTTGTATTTACTTAACTTTAGCTAAAAAGCCCCCTATGTGATAGCATTGGGCAGGTAACATGTACTCTTTATGTAGACATCAGGAATCTTTTAGACCCTTCGTGTCTCCCCTGCCCTCTGCTCCAGCCTATGGGTGCTCAATTAGTTGTGTACACAATTTTGCAGCTAGGATTTTGACAGCTTTGGACCTGGAAATGCACAGAGCTGAACACTTCCAGGCTCCCTCTCGGTAACCAGGACATATAGAGGTGTGAACCTCCCAGCCGGCACATATATAGCAATAAAGCTGTGGCAGAGATTTTAACTTTTATCCACTTTATTTACTGTACACATCTCCTTCACACTAGCCTGCACAATAAATTGCTGAGTTATAGCATGCGAGCCAGTGATGTCCAACAGGAAATAGTGTGATGCGCTGTATGAGCGCATCACGCTTTGTTTTTGTACCTTAATTTGGAGTGCAAAAACTGTACACTCCAGATCTTCACACTACAATGTGGTGTGCTGCGGTGTGCTGCCCTGACCTGCAGTACCATACAGTGTGCTGCAAAAAGATGCAGCATGTCCTCATTTTTCATCACATTGATAACATTGATCAGTTGCCAAAAACGCCAGTCACAGCTAATGGTGTAATAAAGCCCTTCCTGTTCCATGACAACTAATTTTAGATTTTTCCATTTTCAGTCCCAGTGACAATAGTCACCAGGACATATAGAGTGGGTGAACCTCCAGTGGGTACACACAGGTGAAACTTGAATAATTAGAATATTGTGCAAAAGTTCATTTATTTCACTAATGCAACTTAAAAGGTGAAACTAATATATGATGTGGGATTACTGTGCTTGATTGGCCAGCAAACTCGCCTGACCTGAACCCCATAGAGAATCTATGGGGCATTGCCAAGAGAAAGATGAGAGACATGAGACCGAACAATGCAGAAGAGCTGAAGGCCGCTATTGAAGCATCCTGGTCTTCCATAACACCTCAGCAATGCCACAGGCTGATAGCTTCCATGCCATGCCGCATTGAGGCAGTAATTGCTGCAAAAGAGGCCCAAGCCAAGTACTGAGTACATATGCATGCTTATACTTTTTAGAGGTCCGATATTGTTCTATGTACAATCCTTGTTTTATTGATTGCATGTAATATTCTAATTTTCTGAGATTGTGGATTTGGGGTTTTC